ATAGTATGTACAAAAAAAATTTAAAATAATAATTTGTTGTTAATTATAGTTATTGAGGGATTCCGATTTTATTTAGTTATGCTATTAGTGCTTTAAACAGAGATACATTTGCTTTTTGATTAGTGTAAGACATATTGCAGATAAAAAATAAAAAAAGAAGACCAAAAATTGGATTTGTGATTTTAGTTCATTATGAAATACAAAATTCTGCTTCATTTAAATTTCTTTAAAATATTTTAGATAGTCTATTTGCATAAAATTTATTAATCTAATTCTGCTCTTAGTATTTTATTTACATACCAATAGCAGAGCTATGAAAATCGGAAAGAGAAAATGACAATTTGTTCGTTAAAACAATTATAATCTGAGTATAAAATTCATTCGAATACCCGCCTTAAACTTTGATTACAATCATCATAAATTTTATTCTCGTTTCTCAATTTAAGCAGCTTTAATAAAAATATATTTTATTGATTTTAGATGTCTTCTGTTTATTTTTGTTGGCCTCACGCAACGGTCGTAAAACATAAAAGCTAATCAGTTCGCGCTGTTGGATTTTTGAAAAAGCATAGTGAATAGTGAATAATATTCACACACATGCCCAGCATCTGTCTGCATAAATATTTATTGATATTTGACATGATCGATCACTCAAAGAGATAGAGAGAAGCATTGAGGTGATGGTGGTGGTGAGGGTGAGTGTGGGTTGGGAAAGCGTTAAATGCTTTTGGGCTCGTTGATGAGCCAATTTGTTGAGCTGTTGAAATATGCAAATGAGACATGTCCTGCTGCGGTCTCTTTCGCTGCCGCTGCTGTGTAGCCGATGATGTGGCCTGTCATATTGGGCATCAATTTGTGGCTAGAAATATGTGGCGTTACGTTTTCGTTGATTTGTATAATAATCATACACATTCAGTCAGCTAGCCGAAGGTGGAAAGGTGCAAAGTCGGCTCCCCCAAAACAGACTGTTGTTGCTTTTGGTTTGGTCAGTGCGTTGAGGTCTTTCGTTCTCACCTATTTGGAATTGCGGTGCTTTGCTTTTATCACCACGCACGTAAATGTCAGACATAAGCCCCTCGGTTTTAAAATATCACAAGGAATTTCTGTTCATTTCACTCCCTCTGTGTGCGTGTGTGTGTGTGTGTGTGTGTGTGTGTGTGTGTGCGTGTGTATTTGATTGATAAGAAAACGATGCGACAGCTGTTCGGAAAATGCCGGCTAACTGTTTCTAATACTCTTGTTGATACGGGGCATATTTATGTGGGGTATATTTATGTTTCTGTTTAGTTTTTTTAATTGACACGCTAAAAGTGTTTTCTGTTTATAGACTTGGGAAAATTGTTGGGAAGTTTATTTTTATCATTTTAGCCAGAAAATGTGTTTTCAATATATTCAACAAAATRTAGTATATTATATTTATAAATATATATGCTTCTATTTCAGATATTAACATTTCTATTGAAAGGGTATATTGGTTTCGGGCTTATATATAAGTGGGCTTACCTACTTTTATGTTTCTTCTTCTTTGTTTGGCCTGTGAACGTCACACAATTTGTTCAATCTAACCCGAAAAGGGGCTGCAGATACAGAATAATCTGAATGCGTAATTGGGGTTGCATTTCTCCGGTTTCCCAGTGCTTGAAGACGTAGCTAAATTGCCCTAAACTTCAGTGATTCTCAGTGGTGCAGAGTCGTATCACATGAGTCTAGGCTGGTTTTTCTTTCGAGTTTGTGTTAAAGTTTTTTCTCTCCCCTTAACTTATAGTAAATCATCTTATAATTTCGAGCAATATTTTTAAATTTATTATAAGTCACATACACTTCTAATTTATATGATGGTTAAATGTTGTTTTTCATATATTTAATAATTACTCTTCATTAAAAATGTTTGAGTGGCATGTTAAAGCATTTAGCACTTATTAATATTGTATAGACCTATATCTCTATCCATATATAAAATTTATCATTTATTACTATTATCCCATGCAAATTGACTACCAGCAATTGGTTTATTAACTATACAAAATAAACCATATATATATGTTTTGTAACAACCTTATTCTGTATTGTGTACTCGTGTGTATCAATTGAACCCAACTCTTTCACACACTTTGACTCTATTGTTCTGTTTATACGCTCAACTGTAAACCACACAACCACCAAATTAAATGCGATGATCAAACAAATAAACTGCATAAAAACAATAATAATAAAAAAAGAAAAACAAACATGAAATAGCATTTAATAAATATAAAATACATATCCTCTCCCGCACAAACTCATCTATTTGCCTACCCACATGTATTTACATATACATATATATGTAAAACTAAATCAAATAGCTATGAAGTGTATATATAAACACAAAAAAAACTATATATATATATGTTTATATATTTATATATTTATTCTATTTTATGCGCTTGTTGTGCTGTGAATTTTGTTCTATTTTTTTGTTTCACACTTTCTAGCTCTCCATCCCCTCTCCCTGTTTCTCTTTTTTTTTTGTCTACCTTGCTCTTTGTATCCCTTTCTAACTGCCTTTCATTCTCCCACACCATATTCCATCGCTGTGCTTGTTATTTTGAAATGTTTTCTAAACATTGATACAGCAATTTTTTATGACACTTTCACAATAAAATATTGGTTCCACTTTTAAAACTGTATATATATATATATATATATATATGAGATGCATATATGCTCTCCCTTTCTCGAGCCATCAAATGTGCATTCGCCTGCGCTGCAACACACACTTCTACGACACACACACAGACACACCATTATCAGTACATAAATATAAAATTAGTTGAACCTAAATCTGTTGCATTCAAGCGATTTCTGTCCTTTAAACTATAATCTTAATAACTTTTATTGACTACTGATATTTTGTAATATATTTAAAAAGTCTTACTTCATATCTATCTCTCTCAATCTCTCCATATTTCTCATTTTCACTGTTTCTCTATTGCTGGCTGTATATAATCCTTACATGTACCTCTATCTCTGTCTTGTCTTTGTCTCTCTCTCTCTCGCTCTGTCTTTATCTTTTCATGTATATGTCTGTTTGTCTTACTCTTAGCTTACTCCCTCTTTCTTCACTCTATCTCTCTCTTTCACTCTCTCTCTCTTTCTGTCTCTCTGTGCCCATGTCTTTCCTCCCCTCTCTATATCTATCTCTTTCCGAGCTTATCTGCGCTTTTGCTTACCACATTTTTCAATATATCCAATATATATTTCCCCCAATTTTTCCGAAATACTGTTGTTTATAATAATGAAAGCAAAAACCTTTTACAAAAACTTGGTGTCTCATATATCGAAATTGTTTTGTTCTCTTTCGATTCTTACAGGCGCCCGCCCCCTCACATCACGTTCGTGTATCGTGTGCAGTGTTTAGCCCCCCATATAAAAGCCAACAGCGCATAAAATATATACACAAAAGTAAAAATCCAAATAAATTATAAATAATAATCAGAAGCAAAATAAGCAAAAGGAAACCCATGAGCAGCAGCATCAGCAGAAGCAGCAGCAGAACCCCGTTTGCAATTAATTCGATCAAAAGTAATTCAACATCTCGGCCAATTAAATTTGGTTTATTCGAAGTGAAATCGTTTTCAGTGTCAGTTCGCTCTTAATTATCGCCGAACTGTGCGTTCTCTATAAATATACCAATTGTGGTGGAAATAGACGCCACATATAAATACAAATCCGCATATCTATATCTATCTATAGAATAAACTCAACTTGTTGTGTGGCGTGTGATTTTAGTTGTTGTTTTTGAATAAATATTTTTTTTCTTATTTATGCGAGTGCGTGTGAGAGTGTGTGTGTATGTTGTGTTAAGTTTATTGTTTCCTAATTTTGTGTGAGTGTGTTTAGGTGCACTCTTTTGCATGTGGCGCAATTACTACCAATTGCTTTTATACACTAAAAGTAGTTTTCTGTTATCGCGATATATGAACAAAAACAAAAACAAAAACAAAAACCAAATCAAAAAGAGAGAAGTAGGAGCAACACACAATACCTAAAACATTCATCGACAAACGCTGCTAGACGAACGCGCCAGCCAACAAAGCCGGCTCACATGTGTGGGTTTCTCTAAAGTGGGTGAGTAATCAGCAAACCCAAAACTTGATTTCATATTATTCATAAACTTTTAGCAACCGATGATAATAAACCACATATACCCCATATAAGCAACAATCAATTGAAGTCATCTCTAGCTTATACACGCACTTACACACACACACACACGAACGCAGAGAGACCAGAGCAAACACACTCAAACACGCAGCTCATATAAATGTGTGATAAATTCATTCATGCATTTGACTTTGACAATAAGTCAAATACAAATATACATATATATGCATACATGCATACATACTAGCTCTGCCCCAGTGCAGTCATTTATGATTAATATGCCCTTTTCAGTTGATATTAAAAAGTTGTAAAACCTAATATTCAAGCAAAATATTTCATTCCTTATTGTTGATATTTGTATTATCCATTGAAAAGGGGAAATCAGCGCGTGATGTTTCAGTGAAAATCTACGCAACAATCATAGACAGGCAACCTAAACTAAAGTATATATAGCTCATCCCTTTCGCTATTGTCGATTATAATCGATTATTCAACTCTGATTTTTTGTATAATATACTATATATAAATTATAAAATAAATTGCTGTTCAGATTCGAAGATTCTCGTCGAGCAGTCTCTCGACTACAAAGCACTCTTACTTGATAATCTTATTCTTATTTCTTTCAAAGAAAAGTAAAGCTCATTAATAATAACTTCATTAACTTTTTATACGTTATATTTCCAGTGAATTCATTTTCTATAATTAAATGTTTCACAATCTATTCAGAATCTTACAAGAGCATTTTATTATGCTATATGAAATATGCATTATTTTTCTATAATTAAATATTTCACAACCGAATGCATATTTGTCAGTGCTTTAATTAAAGTTTTTGTATTACAATTTTGTTTTTAATTTAACAAAACTTTAGTTGCAGCTATTTTCAAATTCCTTTTGAATGTAATATTTGCCTCTAACTAAAATTCTATGCGACTGTCGCTTTCATTTATGCAGAAAGTACAAAGTTTTTAACATTCAGATAAAGTTTTGCGGTAAATACGATTCATATTATTCGTCTGTATATAATAGTGGAATATAATAAAATATATGGAAATTAAAATGCATTTTTCCCTTTAATTTTAGGGATAGAAAACCTAGTTGTTTTAAAAGCAGACATATAAATAAAACTATAAATAGGAATAAATAAATCTATGAAAGCTGTCAATTTAACCATCAGTATAAATATATAATTTAGCAGTATAAAACACAGTTCTAGTTAAAAGAATTAATTTGTGTTACACAGTTGTTTCGTAGCCTGAAGAGTTTAAGAGAACTTTGAAACTAAATCCCGCAAAAGCATTTAGTCTGCGACATTCGATCTACGGTATGCGATATAGATATCTTTAGATAATGATATATCACATATATCACATATTTTAAGACCTGTTTTGATTGCCTTTTGCCATATGTGTTCAGACATTGCCTCTGCCGGGGTGCCTTGTGGCCAGTCCATACTCCTTTAGTTTCCTTTTGTTTGCATATCCACAGACATTATTTAGTCGCTGTCGGCAACCGCCTTTGCATGCTAAATAGATTTTTGTAGCCAAGTTCGCCCGCGTGTGTGGTTCAGGGTGCTGTGGTTCAGTGGTTGTCATTGTCGTCGTTTTGCTGAATGCCAAGAAATGGCTAAACTTACTTAGCGTAACGCAAGCACGCTCCATCGTAATCATTATAGAATGGACAGCGGAAGGCGAAATGTTTACCTTTGCTTGGCAATCTTGGCGGGCAACACCTGTTGTCAATTGCAGTTGCAGTTGATAGAGTTGAGAAATGCATTTGCAATTGAGTTTTTCCTGAGATCTTGACTCACTTGTCGAGTGGATAATGTGAGATATAAAATAAAGCAAGGATTTCGTAAAGAGAAAAATCTATAGAGATAATGCCAACATTAGAGCTTCTGCTCTGTAATTAAACATTACTCGAGCAACATTTTAAAAGGAAATAGCCGAGTGCACAACCAAATGGATTCCGTTTTTAGCTTTTACTAATTTATATAGTCCATATTTAGAGCGAATTTTGTCAGCTGTATTTACATTTCTATGAAATGACGAATTCATATGCTTTGGCATTATGTTTCGTTTCGTTTCTATTTCCAATGCAAGAGCAGCCTTTGTCTCGCTCGCCTGGATTTCATAATTAAACTAAACAATATGCATAATTATATATTTATTTAGCGTTGTCTATTTGCCAGCGTGTTGCTGTTGATTTCTTGCGAAAACTGACGCAAGCGCGCACTGGAAAAATAGAACTGAGCTGAGTTGAACAGCTACAATAACAGTGGAACAACAATTGCAAGACTTATTTAAATAAGCGCTTGTTTGGTTCCACAGTTCATCAAATGACAGGTCAGCTGTTTTTTTAATTTTTTTTAATTTTTGTTTTGGCCCATTGCCGCTTGGACTTGGGCGAAGGGGCCAAAGCACTGGTTGGTCCCACGCGACTCGCATTTCTGTCCGACGACATATGCACGACCCAAACAACACTAAATGTGCACATGTATAAGTGTGTGTATGTGTACATATGTGTTGTCTATGTGAGCACTTGAAACTCCCAGTCTCTCTGGAGTGCCTACCCATCGTATAGTTGCCCGGAACATGAGTCCTATGTCACAATGTTCGTGTTGCGTGCTGCGTTTGCGGCTGGCTCAATGGCCAACTGTAGACTCGTTTAGAGACGGTGCCAGCGCAGCAGTTTTAAGTGCATTCGCACATTAAACATTTCAAATTGTAACTAAAATGTGACAGTCCCGAATTTATGTATAATATATGTGCAGCAGTATGTATGCAATACATATGTACTCATTTGTGGATGTTGTAGTACTACATTCTACAAATGTCGCATGAGCTGCTAGATCATTTGCTTTTCTATTTATTTCAATTGCCTTTAATCGCGTGGGTGCCGCTCATCCGCTGGCCGTCAAATGCTCTTACTGAAGATATTTTAGATCGGTCTTTGTTGATCTTATATATACAGTTCTGCTCAACTATTTTTTACATATTTTTTTTTACATATTCAATAGGACGGTTATCTTTGCATCGTAACTTATAATATTTGTCTATAATAAAAGCGATTAATCTAAGTTTCCAAATCTGAGTTTTACTTCAACAAATATTTCTATTCAGACCTCACAAAATTCAATGGTGCTGCTTTTGTTTGATACATATTTAAAGCTATTTTTTGATGGGTAACATTTATTTATTTATTTATTTATTTTTTACTTTTTCTAAATTTTTGTAAATGTTTTGCTCTTCATTTTAATTCAATTATTTAATTTGACTTTTTAATTTGTTTTGCTTTTATTTTCATTTTATTTATTAATTAATTTT